GTATCTTGGTATTAAGCAAAAAAATAAGCCAATTTTTTTCATATTGCACACGTTTCTTAAGGTAATATTGAGCTATAACCGAATAAAATTCATCTAAATCTCTCAGCAACACAAGGTCAAATCTGTTGACTTTAGCCCCCTTTTCCTGAAGTAACATCTTTTGTAGTACTCTGCGCTTTCTAAATTTTCTTAACAATTGTTAAGATGTCTTGAAATCATTGTTTAAAATTGATAAACTTGATGCAATTGGAGATTGACACGACACATGATGTTGATACATGTATATAGCATGTTTTCAAGTTCAAAAAAATAACCAACAGAGTATCGGAAAATCTTCTCTTTAGCTTCATCACACATGAATGCAGATTGCTGTAACATTTTATTTCGTTTGCTTCATATTGGCTTGATGATTAACTCTTTTACATTGTAGACACATGCTAACAATTTTTTAGTAGGAGCATATTTACTCCTCAATTTCTCCATAATTTTGCATCGTTGAAACTCATTCAGTCGTTTAACGATCAATTTGTTTGACATTGCATCTAATATTAACCAACTCCAACAAATTTTTTCACAGTGACAAGAGCCTAGTATGAACTCTCAACACAATTCATACCACTATGAAGGAAAATTTACTGAAATTGCTTCTTTGTCTTCGTTGAACAAACTTCATTGCGCTAACCTGCCACCAATGCAACGAGATTACAATGAAATTGACAATCCCTTAACAAACCCCTAAACGAATCACCAAGCTTTATCAAGCCAAAATTAATCCAATTAGTGTGTTGTAGCAATGAGACACAAAAACATCCGTAAAAACATATATGTTTTCTTCGGAAAGACAAATATTTAGCTCAAAAATAACTGATTGACTTTAGTTCACCGAGAAAGTTCATTTAGGTGGTAAAAATATCTCGTGTTTAGCTGACTAATACGTCTACTTTGTAGGCCAAAGTATCTGATTGTCTTTTATTACATCAATTTAGTAGTGACAAGTAGTTGTTTGTACTTAGTTAAAGCTATTAACTACGCATCTACCGAATAAATACCCAAAATACTTCAAGGATCAATTTGCATAACTTGAAGTCGAATCTCATGACTAAATCCTAATTTTTAATATATAATAGAGCCTTGTGCGTTAGTACTGGCTTTGTATCCAACTCCAATTATTTCCCAAAAACAAAAGAATTTAGCTTCCATAAACTTGATTTGATTTTTTTAAAAAACTTGGCATAGAATCTCACCGCCACCAAAATTGGTTTTTTGTGCTTCACGATCACATATCAAATTTCCCTTTGAAGTGGATAAGGACCTTATTAGTCGCGATTCAAAACATACCTACAATTTGGTACGACGAGGACGAAGTTACAAAATAGGTAGATCTGGTGGGCTTAGTTTACTTGTAGATATGCAGAAAGTTATAAACCGTTTGGCAGAGAAGGGATTTTGTGATAAATCGGGTCACCCGAAACCAAGAGATTACACTATATGCAATAAGGAAAGAGTGGGCTCCATGGACCGTGGATGCTATATGTTGCAGCAAGCATGATGAAATAACAACAGCGCTTTGGAGAACTACGATTCTATCCACGATTCTGACCTCGGAGCCGGAAAAGCTTATGGAGAAAGAGGGAAATTATTTGGAAGGAAATTTTGTTCGAGAGCCTAACATGAAGTGGAAATTTTTGTATGAACATGAGATTTTAGGAATGTCACCCACTAGGTGGCCACAATCCAAGTACTGTGGCCACCTGCGAAAAGTCAAACTCTAAAAGAAGAGCTCGCTTTATTGCGAGAAGTCCAAAGAAACAACAAAGTCGTATTTGTCGAGAGCTTTTGAGACTATGAATTTGATAGTATTGAGCGTCATAGTCGAGATCAAGATAGTTACGATGACTATGATTATGAGTACAGATGGAGCTCTATGCAAAGGAGTGGTGAAGGAAGTAGACCATGTAGATATAGGAGGTGACCATAATCCAGTTCTCTTGAAATCAATCATAATGACAAATTTCATGGTGTAATGTTGTTCTTGATGAGTTGAAACACCCACCCACTTTCCATGGGGTTGATAATAATTAGACTTTTGAATCGAGTGGTATGTTCAAAGTAGGTTTTCATCTTTTTCTCGAAAAAATTTGGATCAAGGTCGTCCGCGTATCCATCAAGATGTGATTAACAAGATGAAAGTAGCAGCCGAGTCCAAGAAAGTCATGCCTTCCAAAGATATTGAGTCCCCAAATAGATTTCAAAGGGCTATAGATTCTGCTGTTCGCAAGATCAGTAGTCCAAGTTCTTCAGGTGCCAACAGTACAACTCTTGCTCTAGATACAATCTTGAAAAACGGATAGGTAAAAAATCAAGAACAGATTAAAAATTTGACGGATTTTTTGACAAAATTCACATCGGGTAGTGGTTGCAGAAGTCGAGCTAGGCAGAGAGATGGCAACAACAATGCGCGCAGACGCAAAAAAACAATGCATCACCCGGGGAACGACCACACCGTGCGGGGAGCGCACTAAGTGCACGTCGACCTCATAGCAACATGTGTGGCAATTCTTTACATGTGTCAATCTCGTGCTCCGACACATCAATATCAATGTAGTGATATGTCATTGCACTAATTGCCATGTAGATCTAGCATATGCGCTAGATGTTGCCACGTGGCTCTGCCACATCAACGTAAATTATCACGTAGACGGCGCAGTGACGAGAAGTTGACCCTTGGCGGCCCAAGATATACGACGTTCGATAGGGATTGTCCATAGTTGATGTTGACGGTGACAATGACGATTGTCAATTGTCGATGAGGGCCAATCACGGATGATAATCAGTTGCAATAGTGAAGTACAATCACAAATGTTAGTCAGTAGCGGGCGTAGTCAATCACGGATCAAGATAACGGACAATCACGGTCGCAAGTGTGGATAACACTTGGTGGACAAACTAGTGTTTTGAGATAAGTAGTGTTATAGACTGAGAGCCTGTAAGATTACTGTCAGGTAGATGTGTCTTTCATTGATACCATATCATTGAAAGAGGTAGAAAGTTTTTTGTGTGTCATATTGACAAGTAAAAATTTTTGCTCATGAATATGGTTGTGGGAAAGTTTTGATCATTATGTGGTTAATGATCAAGAAAGAACACCGGTATTGGTAGAGTCTTGAACACACTATTGAACTAGTCAAGATTGACAGTAAATTATGGCGATTGAGTTAGTTAAAATTGACGGTAAACTCAAATGATTAATCAAAGTTATTTCTTTGGAGAATTTTAGACTACACTATGTTACCATGCAAATTGAGCTTTGGGAGCATAAGTAGAATTTGCTAAAATAGTATCTTAAATTATATCTTTATATAATTACTATATCATGTTATAGTTAAGTATTGGTTCTAGTTAAATTTCATATAAGAGTTTCTTTGTATTAATTTTTTTCTAAATATTTCCACAAAATAATTATGTAAATTATAAGATATTAACAAGTTTTTAGTTAAATTTTTATGTTATTATATTATAATTACATTTTAGTTTTAATTAATTATGATATAATAAAAATACTATGTTTTTTAAGAATATATCTCACAATGAAAAAATCTATTGTTTTACTCACATGAATTAAAATGTATATTGTTAAGGTTAACTTGAGTTAAAGAATCTAGTTGGATATTAACTATAAATAGCCAAAAAGTTACCAAATATTCCGGTTTCTGCCCTAATAAAGTATTCTGTGACAAGGAGCAAATGAATGTAACATTATTCTAGAGTGTTACGGTATTGTGTCACGTCTTGATCTTTACGTTGTTTTATAAATAAATATTAATTCCACCATATAATTTGATTTTTAATCAATAAATATATCATAGAATCAAATAATGTAATTCTTTTCAATATATATATTTTTATCAATTCAATATAAATATATTTTATATGTAATAGAAAACATCATTCATCACATTTCGAATAACCATTTTCATTTCTCAATAACCATGAGACTTTGCTGGTAGCTTTTCCACCGACCAACTCATATTCTCTCGCATCCATCGAACCTCTGTAAGAATCTTCCATTTTCAGAAGGGCCTGTGAGCCAAAAGGAGCCATGCAAAGAGTTTAATTGATCGTGGAAGCCTCGTCCCTAACCCATCATTAAATCAGACGATGCCGAACATGTTCAGTTCGATAAGTGGCATCCTCACTCACCAGCACAAGTTGCTTTTCCTCACGATAGAAGATTGCGAATGCGCTATATGAAAACAGAACGTTCTTCGTTTAAGAAATTTCGGGGATCGTCATGAATTATGATTCTGATTTCTGATATATCATCCAGATTCTTACTGCTGCCTTGTGCTGCACTAGTTTTACCCCCGCTGGGATTTTCTTCAGCGGTGGAAATTGGCATAATTTCGGGTTTTTCCTCGTGGTTGTGATCTCCATTCGTTACAGTATTGCCAGTGGAGATCACATTGAGGAGAAACTGAGCCCCGGGCTCGAGTCTGACAACTGTGGACTGCAAATACTCTCTCGTTCATTTATCGAAGAAGCTGTCGGTGTCGATGCTTCGCGTGATGATCTCAGGTCTGTACTCGAGCTCTCCGGGCGGAGTATGGTCCAGCATTTGGAAAGCAAGGTCTCGAGCGCATTGTTCGAATGACCTGTAACAATATACGTACACCGAGATCAAAATACTGACGAGGATTCCCGTCATGAACGATCGGAGTAGAAAGTCCGCAGTTCCCATTCGTCTCATATTGTTTCTACCCGAATCCAGCGATCGGAAAGATGGAGGATGTTGGATTCTTCGTGCAAGTTCGTTCGTGTTTCTCGTCGTGCAGAAATTGGGGCTGGGGACCTGGGGACTTAGGAAATCAATAACTCGCGGACGGATATGGCGACTCCCGGTCTCTGCGCGACACTTCCTCGTGGAAGAAGAGATGAGCTTGCTTGCTCGTCGTGGACGACGGTTAGGTTGTTATAATGTTGCTCCCGTGAATGTAGACCGCACTCGCTGTTAAGTCAGGTTCAAGAAATATGCGTTCAACCCTCGTCCCCGAATCGATCGGATCACAATCGACGCCGTCGGCGACTCAAAGACCGATCACCAATGTCTTCGAATCGTCCACTGCTGTTTTCTGCGAATCATGTCGTAGCCCTTGTCGGAAAAATTGTGATTTCCGCCAAGAAATGACGATGGTGACTGAAAACCAGGAATGGTCGAGATTTCTGGGAATGTGCCGAGTCTGGATGGGGTATGTGTAGCAAGAGAGGCCTCGGGAAGTTCTGTGAAGACGTAGACTGTCAGTAAATTTGCAATGACAGGTATTGGATGCCGTGAGAAAGGCAAGCGTCAACTTTTCCCGCTTACCTATTCCTCGAACAGGACCATCGCGAGCTTCTCGTGGCAGATGAGGACCTGTGGAAGTAAATTCTCTTTGATCTAGTTCGCCTCGATGTTCATCGACGGGCTTCAGATCGAATCGGATGTGGGTTGCTCCATTTGCAATCTTCACGCACGGAAGAAACTTGATTGGGGCATTTGCTGCACGATAATGAACATCCAATCATTTCTCCCATAGTTGAAAGAACTGTTGGGAAGAAGTTCCTGTGGTCAATCTGCGTCTGCTGAAATACCGCCGATAGAAAAATGGTGAAGCGAAGACGTTCGTCCGCGAAAGTGCAAGAATCTAGTGATTGCGCTGCAAGCGATGAAAGCTCGAATAGCAGAGATCAGTCGGACGAAGATGCCAGGATGGCGTTCCAAGCTTTCAGCGAAGAAGTGGCCAACAATCTTGATACGTCAGAATTCGGTGAAGTGCCTATTGTGATTGAAGGGATCGACAACTTTTATTTGCTCTGTGATGACCGACCGATCTCCATCACAGAGCTCCCGTTGCTCATCAATAAAGATGATACATTTCCTTCACACTGCTCTAAACTTGTTTACTTGATGGGCAAAACGAGGAGCGGCTCCGGACAAATCAAGCTACGAGCTGAGATGTGGAAGTTGTGGGGCGTGGGCACTAGCTTCGGGCCTCGATTCTCCGTTAAAACTCCCAATGGCTGGTATGTAAGCTTCATTATGCTGGTGCAAAATGCTCAGAGCTTTTCTCAACATCAAGAAGATCGAGTTAGTTGTGACTCAGGACATCGGGGATTTCAAACAGAGCAGTCTCAGTTCAGCATGAAAGATGTTGACGTGAATTGCGTGAATGGTATCTATTGAGAACAATTCATCGATAAAGAAATGTAGAAGTCCGTAGAATCCATGATAGTTACATGATATTTTTCGATTGCTTCATGTAGGGTAAGGCTGTATGATCCACGACCTGTTTACCGTAGAGTGATGCATGACGGCCTCACCCTTGCGCACCTTCTGCACTTCGTCAAAGGGAACCCGGATGCTACCTTAGAGGAGATACACACTTATCTGGAGGAAGAATTTGGGTATGCATTTGACTTCGAAATCTCATTCACCTTGCGGTCCGTGCAATAATCATTGGGCAGAACGACCAGGTGTTTAAAACATGTAATTCGATCTGTTATGATTTCCACTGCAGCACATTCGGGGATAGTTGACATGGATTTGGCTCCGGTCTGGGCAGGAAGTACAAAGAAAGGCCTGCAATGCACAAGATCCCGACGTTCTATTCTGCTTTCAAATGTTATCTAGAAAAAGAGACAGAGGAGATAAGGAATGGGGTAAGTTCCCAGTTAGGGCCTCCATCAAAAGATTCAATATACTCGACACAATCTGACCAATGAATTCGTAGAAATGCTTAATTAAATCGTTGGTGGCCAGTATTTAGCTTCATGATGTTCGTTTTCTGTTATGCCTGTGTTGCTTCTCCTTGTTGGAATCTCCGCTCCATGGGCTTTGTAAAAACCAGAAAGCTCTTTTGGAATGAATTCGTGAGTAAGCCGAGGTTACCGTGTTGAATGTAATATGATCTTGTCTGTCTGAAAGGAGGAGGATTTCCCAGGCAGTTCTTTCGTAACAGTTGCAAAAGATGAACTTTGAGTCCTGCGTAGTGACTGTCATTGTGGCCAACACATGCTGATGCTCGAAAGCTCCTCCATCCTGACTGCAGATTCTGACTGAGATATTTCCAGTGCAATTCTACGAGGTAAGATTTGATAAGATTTTGATAATTATCTCAATGGAACCTTCATCGAAGCCAAAACACAACTGCATGTATTCAATTGCCTTCCAAACTTTGGCCTCGTTGATGATCTTGGCTTGAGCATGGATGTACAGGAGCGCGTGGCCCAAGACATCAACCTAAGCAAAGCTATCACTCTGTATTCCGACCCGGACGAAGGCCATGAGGGGCTTGCGAATAGCCATCGAGAGATTATATTATTGGAAAATCAGCACCAAGATCCAAACAGTAGTGACAAGTCCCCAACGACACCTCAGAATCTAATTGCTGACCTCAAAGATACACTGGAGACATTGAGAGAAATCAATCGGTGTGAGAATGAAGTTCACAAGTCGGTGAAAGATGAACTTTACGAACTGCCTCCGAGATCTGCAACAAAGCTGGCTCCTTACTTACCGTACCTGAGCTCAAACGAGGCTGCCCGCGCTGCCTTGGAGGCCGAAAATCGACTGAACGAGGAAGATCGGTATGGTACCTTGACAGAATTTTCGACAGCTGTTATGACACATGATGAGGAGTCCCAACTCGATCAGCCTTCAAATGTTCAAGCTGGGAAGAATAAAGGAGGGCAACGTACTAAGGGCCGACAGACTAAATGGAAAACTGCTAAGTTTGTCAAAAATTCCAAACTCGATGATCCGCCGATTTGTATCATGTGTGATGAGGGCGGTGACCTTCTTCGGTACATATCACATCACCTTGAACTGCTGTGGTTGATGACCGTGCACAATCGCAAGCTCTGTAACAGACACAATCCAACACGTTTGCATTCATTCAGCTCACGATTCTTATGCACCGTCGCGTAGATGCTTCCAAAACATTTTGGAATTTTTTTGTGAAAGCTTTGAATTGCTGGTTGGCATGAATTTGACAATCGAGTTTTTTGGATTGATAGCTGCGAAGGCCCTTGTCAGAGATACTTTCATGCTGTCAAAGGGGTGACAGGAAAAGAGTCTCAGTGCAAAACTCTTGGAATGACATATCGCGAAGTAAAGGTACGGCAACAGGTTCTAGCTTACTTCTGTGCATTCAATTGGATAGAGCATTTCAGTAATTGATGACTCGTAATCTCGAATCCATGTTGTAGATGAAGATGAAAATAGTCCGACGAGACTCCGTAAAAAGTAACAGTGAGCACTGTTTATATCAAGGGTTTAAGTGGTGAATCAAATTGGTGACGTCTCACTGTAAGCTACAAGCGATTCCTTTTCAGTGGCTCATTGGTTACAACAACTCCTGGCTACTAACAGGAAATGATCAGATTCTTCTGCAAAAACTGTCGATCCCAAACGCATCAATGTTTCATATGTGGGGAGCTCGGATCTTCAGCTCCATCTCCTACTCTCGGTCATCAAGAGGTGAATGCTAGAAAGGAAGACATGCCGTATTAATTGAGAAATGTAATTCGCAGCTTTAGAACAAGTCCAGAAGATAATGAAGTCCATATGTCGATACGGTCAAGATTCATCGTGTTCAGGCGGTGTCACATGAATTAAGAAGCAAGTGGGGCGTCTTTCCTCTGTTGCTCTCTTTCGTCCTCTGAACATCATCACAATGGTGAAAAAGTCTACAGCTTTCCTGTTCGTTGGGGCAGCATGATCTAGCTTCAGTCCGCACAGTATACGTGGAATATTTTGGAAACCGTATTGTATGGGTAGAAAAACGCCTGTGTCAAGTCTTACACTCTGTTATTCCTCCTAAATCTTGTTCAGTTCCCCCTTCTCCTGTTCTCATCCTGATTATTCTGAATAATAAGCACCTTCACGTCCTAATTCGCAAAGCTTTGTAATATTCCCACAAAGTCAGGTGCATGTCAAGCAATGAATTGTATCAGATGCTTTTAAGTTTATCATTTCCTTGAACTGACTGCATCAAGTTCCTCGGTCTCAGGTTTTCGCGTGCCAGGCATCAGTGTGCAGGCGATTTTACCATCCTGCGTGTGTGGCAGAAGCCTTGATCCCCACACTCGATTGGAGGTCCTTAGCGGAGAAAATCCAAAGAGGCCAGGAGAGGTTCCAATGTCCACGCCACACTTGTCGTGTGTGTCATATTGAAGAACTGAAGCCGGGAGACCTTGTCCAGTGCAGACGCTGCCCAAAGGCCTGGCACTACGACTGCATTCAAGAGTGCGCAATCCACCCCGCATCCCCTGTTCTGAGCCATAGTGGTTTCGAAAACTCCGAATGATCTTTACTTGGCCAATCGGCTTCGTGGCCATGCTATTTACATTTGGACATGCTGTTGAATCGTTACTAAACTGACACCTGATTTACAGTAGCTTCAGAAAAGCGGCATTTACAAGCTCGTGCTCTTTGTATGCTTTCTAATTCCTTCAAACAGTCTTGACAATTGTGTTGCCTGTTACCAGCTACGAGTTCTCCAAGGAGCTACCCGACACCAAAATCTGGAAACACTTCAGACGGAACTTTGTATTTTGCAAGTAAGATGTTGCTCGGTATCAATTCGAACAGTGATTCTGTAAGAACGGTCCAATGTAAAAGAAAACTGAGATTGAGCTTCAGAACAGTCAACTGACAATCGTGAATTGTTTGGAGATGTGCAGAGATCACAAAATAGTGCCAAAATTCATGACTCCAGCTCGTAACCACGTGCGGTTTCCAAAATCGTAGTGCTGACTCGCAATTGAGATAGAGAAAAAAACCTGATTAGAAGAAACTTTGGCGTAAGTAGAAGGTTCTACTTGTGATCCACAGCATCGACTGCAGTAAAATGAGCAGCAGACTTCAGTATTGTTCCTCGCAAGCGCCTTCGTGATGAGCTGTCGCTTTCCTGTCAATTGGTAGCTTGAACATGAACACGAATGGTGACACAAAGCGCATCTACAGACTCACGTTGGAAAAGTTGTACGATTGTATGATGTGTACTCCATAACTTTTGTTACAACTAAATTACATAAGATCACTCTGCTCGGAATCTAGAAGAACTGTTTCGCCGTTTGCTTGCAATCGAGGTACTTCCAATGGCATTCATGCCTCTATGGTTGAAACTAGACCTATGTGTCGTTGTCGGATTTCTTATCTAAACATTTGGAACACAGTAGCATTCTTAATCATCTGAACCCCATTTCCTTCTCACGTCATCGGCCGCACTCCCTCTCCCATCAGCACCTGACAGGACAGGGCGCCTAGGAGCAGGGCGCTTAAATCCTCGTGAAACCCAGAGAACCGAATTCATGAACAGAGCGACCATAGCTTTGCCCTCGGTAAGAATGAGGTACAGGGCAGCCAATCCACCAAAAGCGTACGCAATTTGCTTTGCTTCTTCCCATTTCCCCTCATTACTGACATTATCACTATCTCCATCACCTTTACCACCACCACCGCCACTTCCTCCACCACCTCCTCCTCCTCCACCCCAACCTCTACCCCTGCCCTTGGGGCCGCCACCGCCAGCCTCTCGCTTCTTGATTTCCTCGTTCCATTTCTCGAAGGTCTCCTTCTTGTCACCTAAGGCGCCTTCCAGCGCATTTCGAGCAGCTTCCCGACGATCACCCCAGCAAGTGATTCGAGCTTGCCCTGCTCCACCAGGAATTCTAATTTTCGCCGGCACACGCAAATCCAACACCTGCGCTTGGGCAGAGCCATATCTGCACCAGCCCGCAGAACGAGGGAGTGTCCGCGCAGGCAGAAACGCTGTTCTGCTCATGACAATCGCCTCCGCCATGGCTCTTCTTCAGCAGAATTCCCTTCCTCGAGCTAATCCTGTCCTCACCTCATGACCTGCAGCTGCTCGTCTGCCAAAAGCTCTCACAGCTCCTTCCTCCTTCCTGCACTCCCCTCCCTGTCCCCGTTTCTCGATCTACCTCTGGACCTTGCGGATGCTCCAATTAGGGTTCGCCTTCATATTCGCCTCGAGGTCCCTAATCTCTTGCGTTTGTGTGATTATGAGGCGACAAATTGGACCAAAGCGAGCAGGGGCAGCAAAATGTGCAAAAGTGCATCGAGAAACTCTAGGCAGTCTTCAAGTGCAGGCACCGTCTAATTTCTCACTCAGGCCCATTCTCCATGTTGTAGACAGCAGCTCTTTCATTATTCATTGCACTTCGACACCTGTGCTCGAAGATTCTTGCACTTCATTGGGAATTGCAGGCTTGCACCTTCCTAATAAGATTCACGGCAAATTTGCATTTATGGGGAATGCCGACAGATAGAGTATGTCGGACTGTATGGATAGTTTATTAATTCTAGTTTCTATTTGTCTTCGCCTCTGAAGTTTTCGAAGTGTATGTATGTGATTTCAAGTGTTGAATTTTTCTTCACATATCCCTTTTCGTTTTCTCAGATATTAGCTTATACATCTATTATTTATTCATTTATTTGTCTACGCTTCTGATTTAACAATGATACAACGTTGTGGATACTGGTTTCACCATGTGAGGTTTCCCAAATCTACTCCAAATCTATATCTAGTGTAGATCTATTGAAATAATATCTTACATTGGCTTGGTCCAACAATGTATATTTATGTAATTATTACACGCATTGATCGAATATTATGACAATACTGGGTGATGTTTCTATGGCACGAGCTTTGTTCTTGGTTTCATTTATAGTTTCATCGGTTAAATTACATGTGGATGACATGATGGTAACTGATACAATGGACTTGAGTCATTGTAAGATACTTGATTGGGAAATAATTTTCTTTGATGTGGATCTTAATTAAGTATACTACTTATTAAAAATAGTAATTGAAGGATGATTATCCACACTCCTTCATGGGTAAGGCATGTAGCAGACGGCAAGGTACCCCAAAGACAGTACTGAACTCAAAGTTAAACCCTTTGGTTCTCTTGGCATGTCTCAGGACACCTGTCGGTGGGCAGTTCTGAACTGCGTGGTGGGTTACAGTACTGCGTCCAATGTCCGACGCCGTAGAGTGTTGACTATGGTCGGGTCCACAAGCCACTCTCTGATCTCGGCTCCCGAGAGAGCTCTGTATCTCGCTTGTCACTTCGTCTCTGAGATTGTTCTCGTTGACAGAGTGGATCGTAGTCGAACCCTAATGCCTGCTCAGGCGTGTTCTGCTTCGTAATTGGTTGTGGAATCGATTCTCAAATCTCAGCTCTGACGTCGCCTAATCGGACTCGAATTTCCGTGGAGGCTTTGAAGATTTGCTGACAAAACATGGGATGGTCCAGGCGTTCTCTTCCGCAATTGTGGCATTTTTTGTCCAGGAAGCCTGTGACCTGTCAGGTAATTTCAGTTGCACTTGAAGCTCATTTTCTTACTAGTTTTAAAAATGGAGCCAGGTTACAGTTGCAGATAATCTCGGTTGTCGGGAGATGAAGCCTTGGGGTTTCAGCTCTCCAATTTCACTTTCAACTGATCTCATAGATTAATTTTATGGTTTTACGATTTCGCTTCAAGTTTCAGTCGACGTTATTTGTTTTGATGGAGGGTTTGGGATACGAGTAATACTTAACATTTTGACCTGACATGATGTGAACTACAGATAAAACATGGACCTGACTTGAAGCTAGTGGTGGGTCACGAGACAACTCAGAGACTTTATACAGTTTCAAGGACTGGGGGATCGAGAGGGCAACCAGGTGAAGCGATTTTTAGTTTTTAGTTCATTCCTAAACGCTGGAACAGGTTTCAAGATTTTTTCTCATTTTTCTCATTTCTCGTAGTCATGGATCGGGACTTTGCAGTGTGGATCAAACGTTAAATTTTGTATGATTATTTCTCTCTCTGATCAAGACGTCTTCGATCATCCCAAGGCAACTCAAAAGTTGAAACTCCTGTTACAGGCGAAGGAACCAAAAAAGATTTGGTTTATCGCGATTACTTCTTCGTGGTACTCTTCTTCTCTGACTTCACCTACTTGACTTAATGTATCAAGGCTACTGCAGGAGCCACGGGAGAACTGCAGAGTTGGATCTCTCGGGATGAGGGTCAAACTAGAGCTCTCGGAAGACCTTCGCGTTCTGAATTTAGACGCAAAATCATACATACAAACAGGAATCGTACACCTCATGTTGAGGCAGCTGCAAGCGAGGGACTGGAAGAATATCTTGAAGATGACGCACTTCTTGACGAAATTGGTGATCTGGAGGCTGAAACCCAGATGCCTGCACCATCTACAAGAGCCAGTCGAGATGCAGAGGATGCTATGTTACCGAAAATTATGATTGTAGGTCGGCCGAATGTGGGGAAATCAGCCTTGTTCAACAGGTACCTTTGATATTTATTAAATCAGGTAGCCAACTACGTCTGGAAGCGCGTGTTGTATCTGTAGATAAGAATCTAAGAGTAGCAGTTCAAATCTAAGTAAAGCAAGAGGAGTCGAGAATGTTATTCGTGTGATGCTTGTGTTTCCAGTTTTGTTATTCTTTTTCTCGTGAATGCTTTTTAGTAGTATTATCATTGAGTACTCAACGTAGAGGCCAGGTACACAATATAGTCAATTGTGAGCAGCTGATAATTTTAGTAGTGTATTAATAAAGTTGTATCATTGCAGGTTGACTCGTAGGAGAGAGGCGCTAGTCTACAACACACCCGATGGTCATGTTACTCGGGACGTCCGAGAGGGTATTGCAAAGTTGGCAGGATTGAGGTTTAAGGTACTGGATACTGCAGGCTTAGAGACCTTCACAGAAGATGAAAGTATACTCGCGAGAACTGCCGGAATATCGGCAACTGCACTTCGAAAATGTCAAATTGCTCTTTTTTTGGTGGATGGCAGGTCATTCTCATACTGCTATAGCTCCCGTTCAGATCGTTTCTCTCGTGTTTTGAAGTCAGCTTGAGTCCTTGTTCAATTCGTGAGAAGATTCCATGCGCAAGTTCTTGACTGTGAGATGTCAACTTATTGTGGTAGATATCGCAATCTCAACAACTCAAACCTCCAGCTGACTGTGAGCCGCTGCAACTCCAGTTGATAATAGATAAAATTATCTTCATTAAGGTTTCAACTCTAAATTTCATTCTCATCGGGGACGCAGAGCTGGGTTGCAGCCTCAGGATACGGATGTTGGGAAGTGGTTACGGAAGACTGCACCTCATGTCAAAGTAGTGGTTGCACTCAACAAAGCTGAGGGTATCTACAATGACTCAACCGGAAGACTAATGGCAGCCTTGGGAGAGACACATCAGTTAGGCTTCGGTGACCCTACTCCAATATCTGCTGAGTCTGGAGAGGGAATGGGTGATTTGTATGACACCTTACGGCCACTTTTAGAAGAAGCTCAAGCTGAAATTCTCAAGAATTCACCAGGTTAGCAAGCTCGTATGTCGTGACATCTGAGCTTATCCTTCTTGTTTCCTTCATGGATGTAAACTTAGCTTTTCTTGAAGGGATGGACGGGACACCTGGGCCATGCTTAAGCTGATTTAACATGAGTGATTCTTTGACTGTTTTACGTTTGTTCGTTTTTGTTCGAGTTCACATATTCTGTGCCTCTGTCGCTGTGAAAGAAGGTATATTCTGATTGGGTGCCATTCTTAACAGAGGGCGTTTTGGAACCAAAAGAAGCAGATGACGATAGCCACTTGAACAGAATGCCTATGCAGCTTGCAATCGCAGGACGCCCCAATGTGGGGAAGTCAACTCTGGTGAATGCACTTCTAAGAGAAGAACGAGTACTGACTGGTCCTGAACCTGGATTGACAAGAGATTCTGTTTCATCACAGTTTGAATATGATGGGCGAAAAGTGCGCCTGGTAAGTCTCCATCATGCACTCGTCAATTAAGTCTTGAACGTTCACGTGCACGTAGCCCTTGACTCACTTTTTTGGTGGCAGGTTGACACTGCAGGTTGGATGCAAAGAGTGCAAGTGAAGGAGGGTCCTGCTGCCTTGAGCGCCATGCATGCCAGAAGAGGTGTTATGAATGCGCACATAGTGGCTCTGGTTCTTGATGGTGAAGAGGTACGTTGTTGAAGCAACACTGAGCTTCTGCCGACATAGATAGCTGCGTTTTTGCATGGCATCTTGTTTTTGTTCATTTTAATAGCCTAACGTTAGCTGAGCACGTCGTGCTATTGCTTCTTCGAGGAATGCGCTGAGGCCTTGCTGCCTAGGCCACTGGCCCTTGGCATCTGATTTTGTTCATGGTGCTTTTTCTTTGTTCCAGACCCACAATCTTTTCACCGTAAGCATTTCTAGATTGGAAGATGTGCCGCTTTACCTGCTAGGCCTAGTATTTCACACTCGCTGACTTGGAACACTCACACATATGAAGAAGAGATATTCTTACTTATTTGTCTAAATGTTTGCCGTGAATATGCGAAAATGCTATTTTTGAGATAACAGATGCGTGATGGGTGGCCGCAGATAGCAAACACGAGAAGCAGCATGCGCCATGCGGAAGCTGCACTAGCAAGGTGGGTCGTTCAAGAGGGCCGGGCTCTGGTCGTAGTAGTGAACAAAATGGATCTGCTTTCTGGGAAAGAAAATGCAAAGCTGAGAGGTAATGTCATGAAGGCAGTACCAGCAGAGATACAGGAGATACTCCCCCAGGTACATAATCTTACTATGAAGGCTACCTAACATGTTTCCGTCCAGTGTTTACAAAGCTTTGATTTCGATTTGTTTCTCTTTGGATGTTATCGTCGCACATCAGGCCATTTGAGGTTCCGGAGCAGTCGTGATATATGGTCTTTATACTTTTGTGCGGACGTTGCAGGTATCTGGAGTTCCTATAGTTTTTGTGTCAGCATTAGAGAAGAAAGGAAGTGCGGCTATCATGCGGAACGTCTTTCAGTGTTACGAAAAGTGGTGCACTCGACTAAGCACTGCGCAGCTTAATCGATGGCTTCGAAAGGTAAACTCACCTTTTGAGCGTAGAATCTAGGTATTTCAAAGGTCTATAATAGTTTGTCAAATAACAGGACCTCACGAGGGTTCCGTAGATCGTTTCGAGAGGAGATTCGGCATGTCGCTGGACAGTTATTGACATCGGGAATATTTGCAGGTAATGAGTAGGCATCCAAAAAATACTTCCGGGCAAGGACACGGAGCGAAGGTGAAGTTCATGACACAAGTGAAGGCTCGACCACCCACGTTTGTAGTTTTTGTTAGTGGTGTCGGTGAGCTGGAGGATACAGATCTGCGATTTTTAGCTTCTGCCCTGAGGGAAGATTTTGGCCTGGACGGCATTCCCCTTAGGATCCTTCAAAGGAGCACGAAGAAGTAGGCAGGATATGACTTGTTCGTTTGTAAATAATTTTTGTGTACAACCTCATTCCACCTTATTCAGATGCCGTGGTTATCTTATTATCAACTTGCGTGAAGATATGAGCCATGGAAACATCATACATCTAGTACGCAGTACAACTGGCAAGAATACCGAGAACTAAATTTTTTGGATATGAATCTGATTGAAACACCAAACCAGGTTGAGTTCTCACTTCCTTCCATGGAGTCTTCTACCCCGCTGCTGGTCTGAAGCGATGATTGACCACCTTATCACCGGGACAAAGGGATGTAACAGGGAATAAACTTACACTACCGTGCCAATCAAAGTACGCACTTTCCGAAGTCTGTGAGAAGTAATTTATTCAGCTCGGTTACATCGAGCAGCGAATTAAATTCATCGTGATTCTTCTTGCGCTTTGACTGAAGTGATGGTTACTGTTTGCTTCGTTCGTTTTCCTTTTGAGATTTTGTGGTTCTCCTTCCTCTCTCACCTGGGGAAGTGTGCATGATCGCTGAGTGGTAGGACCTCGCAATCCGAAACAAGAAGCTCACGAGTACATCCATCGGAGGCGAGCTCTCGAAGCGGACGATCTCATAAGATTCCTGGGACATGACAGGTAGCTCGACATCCAACACTGTGTGGCGTACAGACCATTCTGTGGTGCATGGAATGGACATCCTTCAAGCTCGTCAAAGAGCATCGAGCACTACCGAGTCCTGCGCCTCAATCTGCGAGCAGCAGGAGCATTACAGTCTCCGTCGCTGAAGCCGACCTTGCTCTGCTCGTTGTCGACGATGACTCCGAGCCCGTGCTGCCAGGCACTTCCGAAGACATTGAATTCCTGCGCGGTGCCATCGGCAGCCAAGCACATGATGCGGCCAGCGTTGCCCGCAGCGGAGTCCACGTCCATGAAGACCTTGTCGGCGGGGAGAACAACATTGACTCCTCCTGCGAAGTGCAAGGTGACAGTGGGAAGCTTGGGAGGAACATCGGTGCCCGGGACGATGTAGCAGGCCTTGAATTTGGCCAGAGACTCGGAGTACTTCTTGTACTCGATGGTGGCGTCCATGGCGTCCATCAGGGCAGTGAAGATGGGCTGCGAGAATTTGGACATCTTCACTCCGATGTCGAGCAATGTCCCTCCCTTGCCCTGCTTCTCGACCTTGAAGCTGTCACCGGGAGCCTTGAGCTTCTTGTTGTTGACACTGATGCCCTGCAGATTGAGCACGTAGAAGGAAGGATGCGCCTCGCTCTTGAGCATGGGCGACCATTGAACCTTCTTCGCCTTCTGGTCTTCTTTCGAGGGCACGGCGATGTCGCCGATCACGAGCTTGCTAGGGCCCACATTGTTCAGCAGCCCATTGCTGGGCATGGATCTCTTCAAGCAGTAGGCGAATCGATCCCCATAAACCGCTCCGACCTGCGAGATGAGCGAGATGGGGCCTCGACCGAATCCTGCGATTCCATCGACCTGAAGCACCTGCAACCCAATGTTCTGCTCGCTGCAGCCGAATCCAAATCCAGGCACCTTGAGATTGACAAAAGCGGGGGCCAGAATCGAGAGGGTGTCGCGGTAGAAGCGGCCCTGGGCCACGAGCTGGTTGTTGTCGTCCTTGTTCTGGTAGGAGCAGACGTCCTGCGCGCAGCCTCGGTCGACGAGGTTCGAGCAGAGCGCGTCGTTGCACGAGACATTGGCGAAGGTGGACGACATCGCCGGCTCGAAGATGGCCTGGAAGGCGGCGGAGCACGTCGTGCACGGCCGGCACTGCACCCACACCAGGTCGCTTCTGCTGTCCATGATCACGCTGAACTTCTGCGGCGGCGTGCCCAGCGAGATCTGCATCAGATAGTTCCCGGGCCCGTAGAGCGATTGCGTCGAGTAATTCGACGCGCAATTTCTGCCCACTCTTTGCCGAAAGTCATGATCCTGCTGCTGCTGCTGCTGCTGCTTCTCCTCTTCTAGGCAGGGCAATTCCCCGCCCCTAAGCTCGATCAGATTCGTCTTGATCCCTCCCCGTGACGCGGTCTCCGGCTTTTTCCCCGCCGTCCCCACTCCATCCTCGCGAGTCCCACCCAGCGACTCGTCGATGCAAAGTGCGGCGATCACCGCAGCCCAGAGGCAAAACGAAATTCTATCCATGGCTGCGAGGCCTATACAACTAATTGGTCATGAATCCCGAGATCCTCCTCGACAAATTCTCGAATCCAAACTTCACGCAGTCGGTCGGTCGGTCGGTCCAATTCACCCTTCCTTCCTTCCGCAATTTCTTCGGTTGATTAGCTCCCTGTCGATCACAGACCTCGATGGCCTCTGGTCTCTGGCACGATGAATGAACGCCAAGAGCGATGGATGGATCGATCGACCGATCGATTCTCGGAAGGACGGGGCCCGACCTGCGGAATTCGCCGTGGACCGGACGGGAGGAGCCGCGGACCGGGCGGGCAACCTTTCAGTTATGCAGGCATTGATGATGTGGCTATAACGGATTTTTGCCTCCCCGGTCTCCCCACCCCCACCACCACCCCCCCCCCCCCCCCCTCCCGTTAGGCAACCACCCCCCCCCCCCCCCCCCCCCCCCGCAACGGTCGATCGTCCCCCGCGTGCGCACGTTATTCTTCTTCTTCTAATTCTTCGACGAAGACGACGACGATCGATCGTTTTCGGAATCCTAATTTTTTCTTTTTTTCCGGATTCGTGGAGACGGAGTTGGATCGACGACGTTCTTTCTGATTTGAGAGCGCGCGTTTTTTGTGCGTGCGAGTTCGTACCTCCATGATTGCATTCCGCACCTTTCGTGCCTTTCGTTCTCGCCCTGCGTGCTCGTCACGCACATTTCTGTTGCCGGTCGGGTCGGTTCGCGATTCATTTTCTCGCCGTGGGTCGAAAGATTGGTTTCCCCGGAGCTAGTCACCGACCGATTGACTGAGTGACCGACTGACTTGCTTTGCGCTGGACGATGAGAAGACTACTCACCGGTGGTGGGTGAGTCGTGACTCTAATAAATTGAAGGCGAGCAGACGACGGCTCCGGGAGGTCGTCGGTTTTTGGACGACGTTGAAATTCGATGAAAATTGGTTCTCTGAAACATCGATCGATGCTACCATTCGATCCGAGTTATCACATTTCTTAAGGGCCACGATAAATTAGTCAAATTAACTATTTTTCAAATTTTAATGGCTGCATCGATTTCCCCTCGAATCTGCCCTCGGATAGCAGATCCCCGAGCTCCAAACGAGTTTCGGACGAGTGCTCGAGGAATATGGAATCTGATGGGGAATGAGAGAAGCGGTGAAGCTGAAGCAACAGGCGTCGCCTCGAGGGCCGGAGGAGGATGCGGCATGAAATTGCAGTCTCGGTGCGGAGCTAGAAGCAGGACGAAAAGAGAACCTGATAGCTTGTCAGACAGCAAGAGGACAAGCGAAGGGAGGGCGAGTCCAATGATGGTCGCGAGGGGAGGGTCGGTCGGTCGGCCGGCCGGCCCTCCCCTTCCCGAGCGGATCGATCGTGGATCGATGGCTCGGTCGCCATGGCATCTTGTCTTTTGGGGACTGGTTGGTAGCTGGCCGACGTCAGTCAGTGCTCGAGGTCGAGGAGAATCCACACTTCTCACGGAACAACAACAACAACGACGACATCAGCAGCAGCAACGAGAACATCGACATCAACAGCAGCAGCAGCAGCAGCAGCAGCAGTGCTCCACGGCACTTCAATCGTAGGGGCGACAAACCGAACGAGCTAGTGTTCGCCGAGCTCCATCCATCCTTCGCTGCCACGCCACCATAGCCCTCCATAGCCCTCCCTCCGTCTGGAGATTCCCAACTCCCATAGAGGTGGTGCTAGCTATGAGCAGCAGCAGCAGCAGCGGCAGCTCGAATTCCGAAGCTGCGATCTCATCCCATCTCATCCCATCTGCAGCATGCAACTGCAGACCACGGCTCCGAGACCTCGTTCTGACGTCCTAGCTCGCAGACAGAGCATTAAAAATTCCACTGTTTGCTTCTTTGTCCTTCCTTCCTTCCCTCCCTCTCTCTCTCCCCCTCCCCCTGCTCTGCTCGATTGTCTGAGTGCTAGTCAAACATCGGGTGACTTTACCAGATGTCACCCAATCTGTGCAGGAGGCAGTCTCAAACAAAGCACTGGCTCGAGACCCGAGGCCGGCATCAGCAGCAGCACCACCACAGGCCCTAGGGCAGCAGCAGCAGCAGCAGCTCTTGGCTGATCCGATGTTCATGTTTCTCCCGCTCGCTCACTCGCTTTTGCTTGTCGGGCTTCGCTCGAGCTTGGGCGAGCTAGCAACTGAGGGAGACCTCCAGTCCTGCTCCACTTATAATAGATCCCAGCATCTCAGGCCCCTTTATGAGCAATCGGACCGAGTAACTAACTGCCTTTCGGCTCCTCGAAATTTGTAATCCACTCGCTAATCGGTGTGGGCGACCATTAAATTCCTCGTTATCCCCTTACAGACAGACAGACAGACAGAGCGAGGATGGAAGGGAGGGAGGGAGGCAGGGACGGAGCGCTTGATTCTAGAGCAGGTTGTTGCTAATGTGTCGTGTATGGCAAATCATTCCATCTCTTTGTTTGGGCACTCGGGGCTCGGGTCTCGAGATGGGAGCTTCCCTCGGTTCGATCTCCGGTGGAAGGAGTGAGTGAGTGAGGGAGGGACTGGAGAAGCCTTTCCGATGTCGAGGGCTCATTCAGCAGCAGGGGCCGAAAAGCAGATGCCGGAGGAGAGAGAGTCAGCTTTTCATGGCAACGAGGTCAATCATTTGCCTCGGCCCCAGGACGGAGGTACTGCGGAGTCAGTTGAGCTGCCGTGGAATTGAAGTGAGTGCACTCTACAGTGCTAACTTCCTCCGGAAAGTGAGATGCTGTTCGAGCCAGGTGCGTGCGCAACTGCTGCCTCGTTCTCGAGCCACACTTCCACTCGCGGCGTCCACCATGCATGCAGCAGCAGCTGTCGATCTGTCGATCTGTCGATCTGGCGATCGCATTTTCCTTCTCGAAAAAAACTTCCCTGCGAGCATCGCATTGCATCGCACCTTTGCACCGGATCGTGGATGAATCGATCGCACTTGCAGTAAAGGAAGTCCCATGGTTGGAATGAATTGCTCCGTCAAAGGACGGGGACAGGATAATGATGGATCGGGCATCGGCCATTTTCTACAGTATCTCTAAGCTTAAATTAGGATTCTGGCTGGACTCCATAGCTACGAGTGCTCGTCGTGTCTAAGAGGGAGGATGAATGAAGCCTCGTGCTCGCGTATTTGCGTGGAACGTCGTGGAGTATGTTCAACATAGTCTGCACCTTTAAAGCACCAGTTTGACTTTCACCGCACTATTTCGTGCGACATGTCAAGACGACAGGGCCCTCGACCTTAAATCTCCCTCCTGCTCCTGCTCCTGCTCCTCCTCTTCCTCAGAGACTGCAAATTCTCGTGAGCTGAACGAAGAATTGCATCCAGAGCGTTACGCACAGCACCGTGCGTATCGGCACGATTCTCCATTGTAGCTCGGTGGCTTGCAACTCGTGCAGATGGAGAACGAGCACGAGGTAGAAGAGGCCCCAAATTTGATTCGATCGATCGGCGAACAATCTCATGGACTGGTGCCTGCCGGCCTGCCTGAGAGTTCCAGCATTCCACATTTGTGGGGAGAGGCAAAGTCTTCTCGGCTGGGGATCGGCATTGGCATCAGCCGAGCTACACTCACTTGCAACTCAATCTATCAAGGAACAGAATGAAATCGTTCTCAGTCGGTTTGTGTGCCATTCATCTCCCTGTCACCTCACACCGAAAGGGTGGACATCACATCGTCCCCCGGTGAAGCCAGCGAATGCTGGCGTTGGACGGTTCTTTCTCGTGACCGTGAATTGTAATTATGATTCAGTTGCATCTTACTCATTCACTAGCTGTGTTCACATCCCGAGAGGAGGCGGCCTCCATCCCTCGGCTCGAAGCAGTTCGTCTCGTTCATGTGCAACACTGTCCACTTTCGATGCTGTCGTAGATCCGGCCCAGTGCTTTGTCAGCTCCCTTTTCGATCACTAATCGAGGAGGAATCTCCATCTCTCAAGAGTGAAGCTTATATTCTCGGTACGTCACACACCTCGGTGGAAATCAAACGACTTGTGTCAGGCTCGGCACACATCACCATGCCAGCGAGCGAAGATTCCGAAAATTGGCTCGATTCCAAACGATCCCACAGTTGCCTCGAGAGACACTTTTCACCTGCATCCTCCTCAATTCAACTGAACCCAAGCACTGTAAGTCCAAATTTCCAGTTTAATCGATCTGATAAACCCCAGCAACGAGAAACTTCACAAGCAATCGGTGGATGCTTTGCATGTGGTACAGTGGATCGAACTCGTTCAAGCTTCTTATCCACGGAACCATCGAGAGAGTCAGTGGTAAGTACGAGGCTCGAAATTACGGGAGGTGAATTCCCATCGGGGATGGAGGAAATTGATTAGAGCGCTGATGGGGATTAAGTGGGGCCTGAGTGAGTAGAAAGGGAAAAGAGCCTGACTGCCTGCCTGACTGACTGACTGGAGGACTGGCGGAGTCGCAGTCCAAACCTCCGGGATCCAAAGAGATTGTCGAACCCGAGGAAGGATGCATGGGATTTGTGAAACCGACAAGCGGTTGAGCACATTGGCCTTGTGAGCCAGGACATCGCCGTTCGCTTGACTTGCCTCCTCCCATGTGGCCTCCGCCATTGCAACAAACAACGAGGATGCAATTCTCTCTATCCCTCCCTCCCTCTCTATCTGTCTGTCTATCTATCTGTCTGTCTGGCAGGCAGCGAGCGCATGCGCCTCCCCTCGCCTCGCCGGCCCACCTCCACTCCACTGTGATCCGGTACCACGACACGAGGGGATGAAGTCGCCCGTACTCCCGCCCGTCCCCGAGCTCTCGCCATTCAGGGCCTGGAGAATCACCGAAAGTGCTCGTGCACGGCCTTGCGGGTCACGGCCTGGCTGCTGCTGATCTCACATGGCCGAAGAAACGGAAAGCGGACGCGAGAACCCTCAGCTCTATCGGCGTTCCACGTCCCTGAGCTCCCTGAGAATGGAAAAGAATCCCAAGAGATGAATCGCACCACCACCGCCGCGGCGGCAGTGAGTGAGTGAGTGAGTGCCCAGCTCGTCAGCTCCATTCCAGCTCGAGCCAGTTCGTCACCAGCCGGGCCCTGAAAAGTTCCTCGATCCCTCGATTTTCATTCTTTATCCTTCCAATTATTCTCAAGAGCCTTTTGGATCCTCGCGGTACAGATACCGTAGCTGAAGGTCGGATACAGAGAATCGAATTTCTTCTGCCATCCACTGACCACACCACACCACACCATACCAGACCAGACTAGAACGAACCAAAGGAATCGAGACCGACGCGGAATGGAATATATACAAAATTCACGACAGGCAGTAACAATCACGACTCAGACTTCAGCACTGGTCACACATTCCGGACAAGCAGTAATCGGTACTTTGAAGAATTGAACTGCAGCTGAAAGAGATCCACATCTTGCATACACAGGCACAATTCACCTTTTTTTGGGGACTGTCCGAGGGCAAGCGGCCCTTGCAGACCTTCCTCTCACTCCCTCACTCACTCTCTCGTGAATTTGGTGAAATTGTCCGGTAAGCGCATTTCTCAGCCTGAAGTTTCTAACTAATTGTGGGCTAAGCTAAGCTAAGCTAATCTAATCTAATCTAAGCTATACACGAGGCCTGTCTACGTTCCAGCTTCGTTGCAACGAGGCCAGCAGCCTCCTGAGGCTCTAATCTGGAATCTAAAGATGAGCGAATGCCTCCATCTTCGTCCGCCATCGAGGTTTTGAACCGAATCGAGGATGAGCTCGATGGACCCAAATGACAGAAATGTCGAGGTTCCCCGTTTTCGTCAGCCCCCCCTCCCTCTTCCCCATTCGGGCCCACGAGGCGGATGGCACACGAAGGTTCCATCGCATCCATCGAGGCTGGCAATGATTCCTGTGAGAGCTTCGAGCGATCGAGAGGATGATGGCGTGATCGATTTTTCGACCTCCTGCTCTGTGGTATCTATAATACAAAGGTTGTGGTACAAAATTTGATTCGGGGCCGTGGCATCGATCGAAGCCATGCTCGACGATGACGACGATCGGATGCGAAACTCGAAGCTTTGGCTAGGACTCGTCGTTCTCGGCGATGGTGGACAGCAGAGGCCGCCACGATTGCCGAGCGTACTTGCTGCGGTAATATTGGTAGTACGTGAGCCCCGACGATTTGTTCGAGGAGCCGTCGTGGGAGGCGCAGACTTTGCGAGACGAGATGCTGGCACTGCTCTCGCCGCCCCATAATCCTCGTCCCGACGATTTCTTGTGGCCCGGAGATCCTCGTGGGCTGCGCCTGTGCCGGGACGATTTGGATCCGGGCTTCGAAGGCCTCGAGGACTTCCTCTTGGGCACCCTCGCATTGGAGCTCGAATTCGAGCTCGAATTTCTCGAGTCCTTGCTCCCAGCGCCTGCTGCTGCTGCTGCTGCTGCTGATCCCAGAGTCGGGGCTTGCGAGGGGGCGGCGGGGGCCGGGGCGACCTGAGAATTGGCGACATTGAAGTACTTGGAGAAGCGAGCCAGGTACTGCTCGGGGATGTGCACGAGGAAGTAGGCGTGCCCGAGCTCCAATTTGGTGCTGGCTCGCACCACGCGCACCTCGGCATTCTGGCCCACGGCCTTGCTGTTGAACGACGGGCTTTGCTTGATCGTCCCGGGCTTGCCATTGATGCACCGGTACACGATCAGGTGGTTCGGATACTCCAGCATCAGCTTCGACGCCAGAATCGGCGAGTAGAACTCCATAATCTTCCCCTTCTCTTGATGAATCCTCACTGTCTTCGGACCCGGAGCGCAGCACATCAGCGTGTTCCCCATGCTCCTCGATTCTCGATTCTCGATTCTCGATTCTCGTCCCTCTTCTCTGCTGCTGCCACTCCCTCAGACGATGCTCTCACTGCACCACAGCCTGCTTCTCAGACTCAGACTCCACAGCTAGTGCCCCATGCCCACATCTGGAGCTGGCGTAATTTCGTCGGCAGCTTCCATAGCCGCACGCACGGCACAATCTGCTCTCGACCCGTCACTCCGGGACTCTCAGAATCAAGCTCGCACGAGATCTGTCAGCTCTCGTGAACTTCTGTCTCCGTAGTGCACGCATGAGCTCCGGAATTGTAGACGCGGGAGGACACACGCCTCGACTCAATCAATCCCGAGCTTTGAGCTCAATTCAATCCCGCCGCAGGTCGCAGCACGAGCAGTCTAAATTTGTGCTCTCAGGCCTTCGGACACGAGTGAGTGGGTGGGTGCGAGATGGTGCAGGATCAGATTTGTGGCGGCTATATATGAACCTCCTGAGCTTGCAGGCGGGCGAGCGTGTGGAGACGCGAGCTTAATTCGCGTGCGACACATGCACTCCCTTCACTTCCAGTCGCTCAGCAAGCGCAGACTCGAGCGAGGGACGACGACGAGGACGACAAATGACGAGCGAGAAGTGTGGCCCGTGGAGTTTATACACGGCTGGGTGCACAGGGATGGACATCCAGATGGGAATTGCGCAATTGGGCTCGCATTGAAGAAGACAGAAGATCTGCGGGCGATCACGATGCTGCGATTCGGTTCGTTCTGCGTCTGCTGCTGCTTCCTCCTCCTCTCTCTCGAGTTTACCAACTGCACCGGGCCCCGGGCCTCAGCGCCCGCTCCGCCTCGCCTCTCCTCTCGACTGCGGTTGCCTTGCCCCTCCTCCCTCTCCTTGTGCTTGTTGCGGTTGTACAGTCCCCGGATAACCACAGCCGAGCCCCAGCCCCAACCCCAGCCCCAGCCCCAGCCCCTTCCTCTACTAACCACGACGGACTGCGTTGGCTCTCCCATTCTGCCACCAACCACGTCAGCAGCCCCCCAACGTGGTTGGGGGCAGGCTCGCCGGTCGGTCACCCCGGGAACGATACGACGTTCCCCAAGTGAGTAGAAGAAGGCTGCTGCCCCCGGCCTACCCCCGGACTGCCCCCTTCCATTGGGGGGCTTCGTTTGTACTTTAGTAACCGACCTACGGTCCCGCGTAGTAGAAACGTGCGCAGTGTCTGATGATGAAGCCCTCGCTCGTTCTCTTAGCTGAATCAATGAATGGAGGAATGGATGGATGGAAGGAAGGGGAGCAAAGGAGGGCGCAGCTGGTGCTTGCTTCCACGGCGGACCTCCAAGGTCTCCGACAAAGTGATTCGGTGGTGGGGTTTGGACCCAAAAATGACTGCCTGCTCCCTCACTGGCCGCGGTTGTCAGCGGTGCAGGTTCATCTCAACGGAATCCCCTCCCGAGACATGATGCCTATGTTTTGTGGAACCGTGTGGGGTGGACTGGACTGCACTGGATTGGATGCTTCAGTTTGGTCCGTCGGTGAAGGAAGGGGGCTCCCTCTCTGCCAAGTGTAGTGCTGCTAGTGTAGGATCTGGAGAGCTGAGGAAATGAGCTCGAATCTACAGAAACTATCTGTGCAGTGCAGTGAAGTGGAGTGGAATGGAGTGCGTGAGATGGAGCGCAGGCTCACTCGGTTGCCACAGCCTGCCTGGCTCGAGACAGCACAAGGCTCTGTCATTTCATCTGGCGGCAGTAGGTAAGTGTTACCGTGTTTCATGGCCACACTTCGGGCTCAGCTGATCCATCACTGTACGGCTGGTGGATGGAAAGCTGTGGAATACTTGCAATGATGGACGGGATTCCAATTTATCTACAACACATTGTCCGGAGCACTGTGAGAGAGAGTTCATTTCATGCTCTCGGTGAACTGACATTTACTTCTATTCGGCCCCACTTGCAGCAGCAGCAGAAGCTATCCTACCATGTCTTCCTCCTCGACCGCGCTCTGCTCTCTGAGTCCTCCATTTTCTCTACTCCGCGTAGGTTTTTAGTTTATGGTCTGCGTAGCTGCTGATGCTGAAGTCAATCTAGTATTCAACCTAGGCAGTCTTTTGCTCAATTGCAAGAGGTTCTCCATACATACGCCAAGTCAATCTATTGAAGGCGAGGGACGATGCCTTTAATAGACTCTACGTCTGTCACTCTCTCACTCTCTCACTCTCTCTTTCTCTCTACCTCACACTCCCTCCCTTCATTGAGAATCCCAAATCAGAGCAACAAATCAACATCGTACGCGGTTGTACCATTACCTCGTCATCTCCCCTCGTCCTCCCATTCCCAAAGGTTGGATGGAGTTGAGGCTCGACATTCGTTTCGATTTTGAAGCCAGCTGTAATTCACAGTCATCGATCAAGTGTTACTACTCTCGGGACAAACAAATGGAGTCAAACAAAGCAAAGTGATATAATGGAGTCAAACTGAAAAGGTCCAATGCTCCAGTCCCAGTCATTCTCGAGTACTCTCTTGTGAAGACTGAGAGGTGTACGAGTCCACCACGACAAGGTGCAGAAACAATTCTTTCGTGTGCATATTCTAGCATGATAACAGTTGAAAACTCGCGCTCCAGCTCATCGCCATTTTCCGTATCCAATTCGACTCGATAACATTTTGGACCGATGAGTGAGCGAGATGTTCCAGAACCTCCTCAGTCACGGTCAACCGAGTAATAAGAATGGCAGCGCACTTTGTCAGAAACATGGCTCATTGACGATCCATTACTGCAGCCTCAGAGTATAAAGCTCGTCAACTGTTGATCTTCTCCAGTTCTCACGCGTCTAACGGAAATGTTCATGGTCGAGGGCGTATTCCAACGAGCGATTGCACGTTCCTGCCGAGGAAAAGGGGATTTGGGTGTGTAACATCTATGGGGCTTGCTCTAACACGTAGTAACTAGGATCTTTGTCGCTAAAGGGGTCCCACTTTATTGTCGAAAGCTTAGTACTTCCTTTTAGCAACCATTGCTGCCATCGTACTTGTGAATCGCTCGTCCTACTGGACTCATGTGCTTTTCTCCTCCTTTTCCAGGCATCTCCTTACAGTCGAAGATGGACATGGAACTTTGGAAAAAGTGGAACAACTAAATCCAGACGGGCCTTCAATGTAAATTCTCTTTTCCTCCCAAATATCTCCATGGCATTCATGGAAATCGGGCACCCTCTGCTTCTGCTTTGGAGAATCGCCCAGCAGCAGCAGCAGCAGCAAACAAGGGCTTACCAGAGCCAGTGGACCCCGAATTGTGACATCAGCAAAAGCTCGGGGATTCGAACTAAATGTGAAACGTGATTGATTCCCCTCTCCATAGCCCATGTGAAATGGCGACTCTTGCGCTCATAGGACGATTCAAGGCCTCGTAAGCACACACGGTTAAAACAGAGGAATGACACCGCCTGCCGGGGGAAAAAGCATTTCACTATGATTTGAGAGCCGAGATCATTTCGAGAATCGAGGTATGAACGAGATCACAAAAGACTTAAAATTATTCACCTGGTCGGAACGAACCTCTTCCCTCCTCGTTAAATAATTTCCGCCAAATTCTCATATCCATCATCTAGCTGTCGCAAACACATGTGCCATTTTGATTCTCCTTCCTTCCACATTCCTTCCTTCCATTCATTCATTGCTGCCGTTAGTTTAGCTCACGAACTGAAATTGCGACCGTGGTCGATGGCAACATGTCGACATGGTTTGCTGGTCGGTACCGAGGGGCAAGGTACAGTCCAGTCGATCGGGGCTCACGGGTTTGCCAAGAGGCTATGGTGGAGATCCCGGAGGCCTAATTGGATCCAGTTGACTTAGATCGGGCCGAACGATCTGATCGGATCTTCAGAAGATCGCCAGACCTCGACACGTTCTAAAACTCGTCGTTGTACGAAAGAGAGAGCAAAACCATGCGCTCGCTAGCGAGCTCCTGTACTGTACTGTACTGAACCGACCCACGCTCTGTCTGAGACTAGAGAGGTTTGCTTGAGCTGAAACGTGCTGCATATTCCATGGGATTCTTCTCCCCGAGTCAAAACATTGCCCCTCTGCTAAAGATAACTCTGGCTCGTCGGCCGGACCTAGTCTTCGCCATCATGGCAGGATTTGGTGGGGGCGTCCAGACTGACTCTGCCCCAGCACACTATCTGGACATTGAGGGCCCCTTGCTTCCTCCATTCCTGCCCTCCTTCCTGCCTTGTGCCGGTGGAGCTTGTGGGATTGTACGTCGGTAAGCTCGAGCTCCACTGACAGAGATTAGCAGAAGGGTGTACACTTGGCGAGGTTTAAAGTGGGCATCTGGAAGATGGAGGCCGCCGGTACGTACGCATCTGACCTGGTGCACTCGCGACCGAGCCACTTGGCTTGGCATGGCTCGGCCATGCTTCTCTTCGATATGATCTCTGGTCGCCTTTCGATTCCACTGGAGCTGCTGCTGCTGCAGCAGCAGCAAAGTACTACCGTATGATACAAGGCCGGCTCCGAAAGGTGCTCAAAGTTTGGATCAGTGCCATGAGAAAGATAAAGCTCTGACTCGCCATGGATTCTCTCAGATCTGTCTCTCCACTTCGTTTCATTGTTTTGTTACTCCCAGGCGCAGGTCGCTTTGCGCCTGGCCTGGCCTCCTGCAGCAGGCGGAGAAAAAGCGTGGGCGTTGGTGATGACTCGAACTCGGATCATTAATAGAGCGAAAGCGCTCTGAGGCCAACATCAGCAGACGCTAGATTACGTGCAGATTTTTTCAAAGCACAGCACGAATCTCGGGCCCAATATATACCCCCGAGACAGCCATAGCCAAAGCCAAAAGTTGGCCTTTCGGAGGAATTTCTTCCCTCGTACCAAACAGAGGTTTCATGCAACGAACCGATCTGGCTCTGAAGAGCAACCTCCTCTTATCCTGATCGTCAAACCAAACCGTCAGGCATGGCGCAGACACACCCACAGACACACTCACACACACTGCAGTCGATCTCGGTGCAGTTTCTCGTCAGTAGACCTCATCTCGAAGGGAATGTCAAAGCATCTGATGAGCTTTGCTGTGCGGCCTAAAATTCTGATCAGAGAAGAGTGAGTGCATGATCATGGATCTGAGAAACCTCATCCACTGTCCGCTGTCTATCGTCTTAGCCGAGGCACGTATGTAGAGTGGACGGAGGTCGAGAAGTGTACTGCCAAGGAGTGATTGATCCATCCATCATCCGTGGAGGTCAGTCAGTCTAGTCTGGACGCTGGTGTCAGCCAAAATGTGTGTAGAGGAGATCGTGTTCGTATAAAGACCGCATTTGTAGAACTGACAGCTCGATACAGTATTTTAGATCGCTCAACTAAATCTACTGTATGCGAGACTTTTGGACGATGGAGTTGGAGTTGTTTAATGTCTCTGGTGAAGAAAGTCTCTGGGGAAGATAAGCACTGTAGCTGATCCGGTGTTATCAGGATGCTCTTTGCCACCATACTCTCCCTTCCGTCTCTCCGTTGAGCTACCAAAGTCTCTGCCCTGGTGCGCTGTGTGAGCATATTACATCCACCACTACACTCACTCCCGCCAAAAGCAAACGTCGTGCTCATTTTCATTTTCCTTTTCCTTTCCTTCTCCGTCTTCCTCCTTCCCACTTTCCCTTACCTCTCGAATAAATCCTCGTACACAAATCCTTAAACTCTTCTCATCACTCGAGTGAACAAAGTAAACCTTATGTGTATTTATTTAGATACTCGACTCAAAATGTTTCATTCTAGCACCTTGTCTACTTATCTTAGACCCATGATATACCATGTTTCGACTATATGGCACGTGGTGGTGTTACGAGGATCTCAGAGTGTGGTTTGGGGCCCATTGTGGTATTTTACATGGATCTTATTTCCAGTT